TGGAGCCGGGAGCCCAGGGAGCGGCAGCTTCCGGGGCTCCGGCCTGGGCACCTCCGCTGCTCGCTGCGCCTCGGGCTCGGCCTCCCCTGGTCGCGGGGCCCGGGATCGTTGGGACGGCAGTGAGGCAGGCAGGCCCTCAGAGTCAGCCGAGAGCCGTCTCTTCCCGGCTCGAAGGCTTCCTCCGGCTCTGCTTCCCTGTGGCCACGCTCCGAGATGCCCCCTCACCGTCTGGCCTCTGCCACCCTCTACAGCCACGGCCCCTGGCACCCCCCTATAGCAATACCTCCAGACGAGTAAGAGCCCCCGCGACACGCACCTCTGCCTCCGTGCCTTCGCTCACGCTGCCCTTCAGACTGGAATGCCTTCCCTCGCTTCGCCGGCCTTGGCTGCCTGGCACAACTACTCATCTCTCACCAGCCCCTCGAAGACCACCCCCCGCCCGGGAAGGCAGCCCCCAAAACCCTTCCCTCCCCCAGGCTACCTCCGCACTTTGTAAATGCTTCTGCCCTGGCACCTGGCACCCCGTATTTCACTTGTTTACATGTTTGTCTCCCCTTCTAGACTGTGAATCCTTAAGGGCATGGACTGTATCTTATGCATCTCTCTGTTTCTGCGCCTAGCACGGTGCCTGGCACACAGTAGGCGCTCAATAAATGTTGAATGAATGATTTCACCAAGGCCTGGTCGCTCAGCAGATGGTCTTTACTGTGGCCCTGCACCGTCTCACTGTTTGCCCCACGACTTGGAGTTAGCATGACTTAGAAAGCTTTGGTCATAAAATCGACCTGAGTATCCCAGGGTGCCTTCCACAGCCCATATGTGTGTGTGTGTGTGTGTGTGTGTGTGTGTGTTCAGGTCAGGGTTTACGGTCTGCCAACCTCAGTGTTTTCCAAAGCTTCAGAGGCACCGGCCGTGCCCCTGGCCCCAGGCGGTGTTTGTAGCCATCACAGCCCAGCAGTGAATAATAGCATGTCAAGGGCATGGCCTTGGCCTTGGTGCTAGCCTGTCTTTAATGCCTCTAAAAAGAGTGAGGGAGGTGTGCAGCCTAGTGAATAATTCTGGTGTTCAACCCTGGGGCGCCTGGGCTTGATACCCGCCTGTGTTCCTGCCAGCTGCCTGCCCATGTGCACCCTGGGAGGCAGCAGATGATGGCTCAAGTGATTGGGTTCCTGCCACCCACAGGGCAGATCTGGACTGAGTTCCCAGGCCCCAGCATGAGCTCAGCCAAGCCCAGCCCTGGTCATGGTGGGCACTGGGAGAGGGAACCAGCAGATAAGAGCTCCCTGACTCCCTTTCTCTCTCTCTCTTTCTCTCTCTCTCTCTTTCTCATTCTCAAATTCAAATTCAAAAAGGAGGGCAGGGAACAACCAACCAAGGAAGTGCTAGACTCCAGGGCCACATCTTGGGCAGTTGTCCCCAGTTAAACATTAACAGTACCATTTTGTTTGCATTGTATTTATCTTCAAGGTCAATGGTTTTAACAAATTACAATTTTAGTTCATGAAAGTGATTAAAGTGGTTTTTTTAAAAAAAGATTTTGGGGCCAGTGCTGTGGCTTAGTGGGTAAAGCACCTGCAGTGCTGGCATTCCACATGGGCGCCGGTTCAAGACCCAGCTGCTCCACTTCTGGTCCAGCTCTCTGCTATGGCCTGGGAAAGCAGTAGAAGATGGCCCAAGTCCTTGGGCCCCTGCACCCACGTGGGAGACCCAGAAGAAGCACCTGGCTCCTGGCTTTGGATCAGCACAGCTCCAGTTGTTGTGGCCAATTGGGGAGTGAACCAATGGATGGAAGACCTCTCTCTCTCTCTCTCTCTCTCTCTCTCTGTGTAACTCTGACTTTCAAATAAATAAATAAATCTTCAAAAAAAAAAAACTCAACATCTCGAGTCTCTTTAAAAAAATTTATGTATTTGAAAAGTAGAGTTAAAGCAAAACAGAGAGAGAGAGAGAGAGAGAGAATCTTCCACCCACTGGTTCACTCCCCCAAATGGCTGCAATGGCCAGGGCTGGGCCAGACTGAAGCCAGGAGCCAGGAGCTTCATGCAGGTCTCTAACATGGATGACAGGGGCCCAAGCACTTGGGCCATTTCCCCCTGTTTTCCCAGGCACATTCGCAGGAGCTGGATCGGAAATGGAGCAGCCAGGACTCAAACCAGTGCCCATCTGGGATGCTGGCATTGCAGGCGGTAGCTTAACCCGCTACACCACAATGTCAGCCCCTAGTGGCTTGTTTTTGTTTTGTTTTTTAAGAGTTATGTATTTGAAAGGCAGAGTGACAGAGGAGAGACAGAAGAAAAGATCTTGCATTTCCTGGCCCACTTCTCAAATGGCAGCAACAGCCAGGGCTGGGCCAGTCTGAAGCCAAGAGTCAGGAGCTCCATCTGGGTCTCCCATATGGGTGGCAGTGACTCAAGTACTTGAGCCGTCATCTGCTTTCCAGGCACATTAGCAGGAAGATAGATGGGAAGCAGAGTACCCGGCACGCAAATCAGCACTCTGATACGGGATACAGATGTCCTGGGCAGCAAGTTAACCCGCCGAGCCACAGTGCCAGTCCCTAAAGGAAATCAGTGAAATAGGAATATACAACAGAGACACTTGGCCATGGCAAAACCCCTGAAGCTGGCCCTGGTGTGGCTGGAGACCTGCAGAGCCGGTTCAGCAGCACACTTTATGGTGCTCAGCCCAGGGCACAGTTTTCCACCCCTGGCCACAGTCCAGCCCCTGTCCTAGGCCCCCTCATCCAGGGACATTGGCAGCAGCCTCAGCTGTCCTGAGTGAGGACCCAGAGGGTGGGGCTGTGTTCCTGAAGAAGAGTGGCTCTGTGCGCTGTGAAATGGGTCTGTTCCCAGCTGTCTCTGGTGGGTGCAGCCCAGGGCCAGGCCCTGAGCTAAGCCAGCCACTGAGTAGGCCTGGCTTTGAGGGGCACTTGGTGACAATCCTCGAGGGCTGGTGGGTGATCCTCCCACTTGGCCATCCTCCTGCCTCATGAGCGGAGCCCCTGCTGGAGCTGGCACTGACCACTCACATCCAGCAAGCGAAGGCTGCAGGTTCTCGGCTGGCAGGATGGCAGGTGTCACTGACCAGGGTGCCAATCCTCATGCTAGCATTCAGCAGCCAAGTGGCCTTGGGCGGGTCGTTCCCCTGACCTCAGTTTGCTCTCCTTGCAGTGGTGAGAGCAACTCTGAATGAGTCAGAACCTTTTTCAGGGCAGTGGGTGTTGCAGTCCAGCAGGTGGCGCTGCCCCTGGGGACAGCTGCATCCAGAATCACAGGGCCTGGTTGGAGCCCCGGCTACACCACTTCCCATCCAGCTCCCTGCTACTGTACCTGGGAAGCAGTGGGCGATGGCTCAGGTGCTTGGGTTCCTGACCCAAATGGTGCTCATGGCTCCTGGCTTGGACCTGGCCCAGCTGTTGCTGCCATCTGGGGAATGAACAAATACATGGAAGATTTCTCTCCCTCTCTCACTCTGCCTTTCAAATAAATGAATCCATTGTTTTTAAAAAGGACCTTTCTGGGTGCAAGTGAAAATGCTCCACACAAAGTAGCTTAAACGTGGATGGACGTTTGGTGTCCAGGTTAAGACACTGCCTGGGATCCCCGCCTTCCATTTCAAGTTCAAGTCCCAGCTCCAGTTCCTGTTCCAGCCCCTGCTCATGCTCACACTGACAGGCAGCAGGCGATGCTCATGTACTTGGGTCCCTGACGCCCGTGTGGGAGACCCACATTGAGTTCTGGGGTCCTGGCTTCAGCCTGGCCGAGCCTTGCCTGCTGCTGGCATTTAGAGAGTGAACCGGTGGACGGAGGAGCTGTCTCTGTCTCTCTGCTTTCCATATAAATAGATAAAAATTGGAAGAAAAAGGACAGGGTAGCTTAAGCCAAAAGGAGAGCTGATGTGCTCACGAACCCGTCAGGTGGGGTTCTGCACGACGGCCTCGGGGTGCGTGTCAGGGGTGTGTTGTTGGGTGTGAGGATCAGGTGTGCCTGAAAGCAGGGATTCCAAGGGGATCCGCACTCAGCTCTGCTTTGCTCCGGGCTGCCATCAGCCTCTGTCACATTGCCTCCCTGCAGTAGAAACATGACGCCTTCTAGTTCACCCAACCCAGCGGAACCGCCAATAGTTCCGGGAATTAAGCGTCATTGGTCCAGCTTGCGTCACGTGCCCAACCCCGGACCAATCATAGGTGACGGGGGAATGGGCTTCTCTGACTGGCTAGATCTGGTCATATGACCACGCTTGGACGGGCAGTGTGCCTACCCATTAAGCCATGGCGGGCGGAAGGGGCCCGTTTTTCGGGGTGGGTCTGTACCAGAAATGATACAAGACAGCAAAACCGTAAAGGTTCGTCGGTGACGGCGCTCCATGGAGGCTCTCAGCAGGCTCAGTGCAAAAAAGCTCACGCGGTCACTTTGAGAAGCCCTGCGGCTGATTTCTGCGCTGTGATCAATCACACGGAGGAAACGGAGGGGGACGCGTGGCCTCCCCGGTGTTTTATTAACACAGAGCTCCAAAAATAAGCAGCATTTTCCCCCAGATCGCGGGCTAGTTCTCCTTGGGGCAGAAAAGGACAAAGTGGGGAGGGCTAAGTAGGCGGCCTTAAGAGTGCCAGAGAGTCTGGCTAATCCTCCGCGGCGCCAGCACACCGGGTTCTAGTCCCGGTCGGGGCGCCGGATTCTGTCCCGGTTGCCCCTCTTCCAGGCCAGCTCTCTGCTGTGGCCAGGGAGTGCAGTGGAGGATGGCCCAAGTCCTTGGGCCCTGCACATGCATGGGAGGCCAGGAGAAGCACCTGGCTCCTGCCATCGGATCAGCGCGGTGCGCCGCGGCCATGGGAGGGTGAACCAACGGCAAAAGGAAGACCTTTCTCTCTGTCTCTCTCTCTCTCTCTCACTATCCACTCTGCCTGTCGTGTATTTGGCAGGGTGTATGTCAGGATATGTGTGTCATATGTGTGTAAGGTGTGTGTCGGGGATGTGTGTGTCATGTGTGTTGTTGGGTGCGACCAGGATAAGTACCTGGCGTCGGATCAGCGCGGTGCGCTGGCCGCGGCCATTGGAGGGTGAACCAACGGTAAAGGAAGACCTTCATCTCTCTGTCCACTCTGCCTGTCAAAAAGAAAAGGAGAGGAGAGGAGAGGAGAGGGGAGGGGAGGGGAGGGGAGGGGAGGAGAGAAGAAGGGGCAGTTAAAGAGAGATTCCAGTCATCAGATGACTTCGCCAGGCGCTTCATCCGGGTCTCCCACGTGGGCGCAGGGGCCCCGGCAGAGACCTGAACTGCTGCCCATATCGATGCAAGCATCACAGGCTTACCCGGCTGTGCCACAGTGCCAGCCGCAGACGGAGCCTCGTGAAAGCAGGCGGGAACCCAGTCTTCACAGTCCCCAAGCCCCCTCAGGCCAAATGTGGGACAATGTGGGACCAAGGGAGCGAATGAAGGAGGACTTACTCCAGGACATCTGGGTGCAAATTCAGGTTCTGCCTCTGACGGGATTCAGCACCACTGCACTTCGTTCTAGAGCGGCTGGAAGGGCTGAACGGCACACTCAGTAGTGTCCAGCCCGTCAGAGACCAGGCTCCGGGCTGGTTTCAGAGTTCCAGGTTCGAGTCCCAGCTCCGTTTCCAATTCAGCTTCCCGCTAATGCACCTGGGAAGCAGCAGGTGGTGGCTCAAGTGCTTGGGTGCCTGCCACTCCCAGAGGAGATCCAGACGGAGCTTACGGGTCCTGGTTTCCGCCTGGATGGATGGCGGCACGTGGCAGTGCGTAAGAGAATCCAGGTATTTTGCGAGTGTGCCGCAATGTTCATTTTTGACATTTCAAGTTCTTAAAATGCTTAAAATCGTTTTGCACATGAGAGGGCTTAGAACATAAGTCTTGAGATTCTAATTTAAAATGAGCGGCTGGATAATTGATTTACACCTGTAGTTTTTAGTTAAAGTCTTACTGGGATTGTTAAGCAGAACGAGAACATAAAAAAATTTTTTTTAAAGACTTAAAGTCTTTAGAAGATGAAAGATGATTACCTAATAAGAAGCCATGTAGCGATTACCTCCCCGAGTGCTGTGAGTGTGCAGGGCGGGGGACGCCTTGGTTGCACGCCAAGGCTTTGCTTATGACTCCATGACCCTGAGGCTTTTATGGCCACTTTGTCCTGGTCTCCCTACTACTCACACGGTGGGGCTGAGGCAGCCACAGCTTGGGGTTGCCCATCTCTGCATTCCATTGTCAAACCTGTGTCTCCAATCACATGCAGCAGTCAATGTCTCCTTTATTCATTCCTTTTCCTCTCAATTCTCCCAGGCTGTGGAGCCAGACCGCCTTAGGCTGAGTCCTGAGGCCGGTTATCAGCTGTGTGGCCTTGGGAAAATATTTAACCTCTCTGTGCCTCATTTTTCTTGTTCATAAAGTGCTTCAGGGGTGTACATTTGGTCGTGTGCTTAAGCTGCCACTTGGGAATGCCTGAGTCCCACCTCTGGGGACCTGGCTCAGCCCTGAGCCCAGCTTCTCACAAATGCACACCCTCGGAGGCAGCAGGTGAGGGCTCAGTGCCTCGGTCCCTGATACCCACCCAGATTGAGTTCCAGGCTGCTGGCTTCAGCCTGGCCCAGCTCAGTTCCAGCTCCAGATGTTGCAGGCATTTGGGGAGTAAACCGGCAGCTCAGAGACCTCTCTCTGTCTTTCAACGCCCAACCCACAGAGACTTTGGTTTTTTATTTATACATTTTTTAATATGTATATGTTTATTTATGTGAAAGACAGTTAAAGAGGGAGAGATTCCAGTCTAGGAAGTGAACACACCCTGACACATATGCACACCCCTGACACACACACACCCTGACACACTCTTATACACACACCCTGACACACTCTTACACATTCTCTCTCGTCTCTCTTTTTTAGATTTATTTTATTTATTTGAAAGACAGTGTAGGCCGGCGCCGCGGCTCACTAGGCTAATCCTCCGCCTAGCGGCGCCGGCACACCGGGTTCTAGTCCCGGTTGGGGCGCCGGATTCTGTCCCGGTTGCCCCTCTTCCAGGCCAGCCCTCTGCTGTGGCCAGGGAGTGCAGTGGAGGATGGCCCAGGTGCTTGGGCCCTGCACCCCATGGGAGACCAGGAAAAGCACCTGGTTCCTGGCTCCTGCCATCGGATCAGCGTGGTGTGCTGGCTGCAGCACGCTGGCCGCGGCGGCCATTGGAGGGTGAACCAACGGCAAAGGAAGACCTTTCTCTCTGTCTCTCTCTCTCACTGTCCACTCTGCCTGTCAAAAAAAAAAAAAAAAAAAGACAGTGTCACAGAGAGAGGTAGAGGCAGAGAGGAAGAACAAGGTCTCCCATCTGCTGGTTTACTCCCTAAATGACCACAATGGCCAGAGCTGAGCGGATCTGAAGTCAGGAGCCAGGAGCCAGGAGCCAGGAGCCAGCAGCTTCTTCCAGGTCTCCCACGCAAGTGCATGGACCCAAGAAGGACCTGGGCCATCTTCCACTGCTTTCCCAGGCCATAGCAGAGAGCTTGATCGGAAGTGGAGCAGCCAGGACTCGAACCAGCGCCCATGTGGGATGCCCGCGCTGCAGGCTGCGGCTTTAACCTGCTGCGCCACAGCGCCTGCATCTCTCTCTCTCTCTCTCTCTCTCTCTCTCTCTTTCTCTTATTGTCTCTCCTTCTCTCGGTAATTCTTCCTTTCAAACATGTAAATACATAAACCTTAAAAGGACGAACTTCAGACAGTCTGAAGGTAAATGAGCTAATGATATAAAGCCCTTTAGAACAGTGCTCAACAAGAGTAAGGGTGGGTGAGAATTTGCTGTGATCATCACTGTTGTCATCATTTCTTAAAATTTTTTTGACAGGCAGAGTTAGAGAGAGAGAGAGAGAAAGGTCTTCCGTTGGTTCACCCCCCAGATGGCCGCTACGGCTGGCGCACTGCGCAGAT